GGAGTTGGAGGTTGCTGTGAGCTGTAATGCCACGGCACTCTACCCAGGGGGACAGCTTGAGGCTCTGTCTCAAAAAAAAAAAAAAAAAAAGTACAAACTATCAGATGATCCAGCAATACCATTACTAGGCATTTATTCAAAGGAACAGAAATCCTTATATTGAAGAAACATCTGTATCCCTAGGTTTACTGCAACACTGTTCACAATAGCAAAGATATGGAATCAGTGTAGGTGCCCAATAATAGATGAACAGGTAAAAGAAATGTGATGTATATATACAATGAAATACCATTCAGCCATAAAAGAGAATGGAATCCCGTCATTCATGGCAATATGGATGAACTGGAGGACATTATGTTAAGTGACACAAGCCTGGAACAGAAAGTTAAACACCACATGTTCTCATTCATACGTGGATGCTAAAAATGTTGATCTCACAGAAGTAAAAAGTAAAATCGAGGCTACTAGAGGCCAGAAAAGGTAGATTCTAGAGAATTTAAATTCTTTAGATTTGCTAAAGAATACAAAATAAAGTTCTGGTGTTCTTTATCCCTGTTGAATAACTATATAGTAATAGCCTCCATTCGTAAGTGGGAACTGTACCTAAGTCAGATATTTGTTACTCAGGGACTATCTATAGTTAATAACATATTGGACTGTTTCAAATTGCTCCAAGGAGGATGGTGAATGTTCCCAACACAAAGAAATGATAAATGTTTGAGATGGCAGACATGCTAATTACCCTGGCCTGATCCCTGTATGTTTTGAGACATTACTATGTACCCCCTAAGTATGTACAACTTTTATGGATGTCAATTAAAATAAAATAAAATATTTATTTAAAAATATTATGCAGGCTCAGCACCCGTAGCATTGTGGTTACACTGAGGGAGCCAGGTTCAAACCCGGCCCACACCAGCTAAACAATAATGACAACCACAACAAAAAATAGCTGGGTGCTGTGGCGGGCACCTGGAGTCCCAGCTACTTGGAAGGCTGAGGCAAGAGACTCACTTAAGCCCAAGAGTTTGAGGTTGCTATGAGCTGTGAGCACTCTACCAAGGGTGACACAATAAGACTCTGTCTCAAAAAAATAAAATATATATATATATATATAAAATACATATAATCTGCTCCTTGAGATCATATTGTACCACAGGCAAGAATATTAAACCTCAACAAAATTAAGTACATTTTCTCCCAATCTATTTATAAAACTTAAATCTAGTCAATTTTATCCTAATTATGCCTTCAAGAAATAACTATATACACTCTGGGAGGCCAAGGCCAGTAGACTGCCTGAGCTCATGGGTTCAAGACCAGCCTGAGCAAGAGCAAGACCCATCTCTAAAAATAGCTGGGCGTTGTGGCGGGCACCTGTAGGCCTTAGAATCATTTGAGCCCAGGAGTTTGAGGTTGCTGTGAGCTATGACACCACAGCACTCTACCAAGGGCAACAAAGTGAGACTCTGTCTCAAAAAAAAAAAAAAAAAAAATATATATATATATACACACATATATATATACACACATATATATATACACACATATATACATACAAGAAAAGCCAGGCACAATTTAGAATTGAAAACACCACCTGCAGGACAATTATGAAGCCTGCTGCTAAAGCAGATTGGAGTGAAGCATCCTAGGAATCAAAGAAAAATAGAAGCAGAGAGTAGAATGGTGATTACCAGGCACTAGGGGAGGGGACCAAGGGTACTGAGGAGATATTGGTCAAAGAATAAAGAATTTCAGTTAGAAAGAGAGTAATTTAAAGGGATCAGATATACAACACGGTGACCATAGTTAGTAACATCATTTTCTCACTCAGTTGCCCAGGCTATACAACAGTGTCATCATAGCTCACAGCTATCCCCCAGCCTCAGGCTCCCTAGCACCCGGGACTATAGGTCCATGCCACAATGCCTCAGTAATGTTTTACTTTTTGGTAAAGAGGGAGTCTTACTAGGTTGTTGAGGCTGGTCTTAATTTAGTCCTGGCCTCTAGCATCCTCCTAAAGTGCTAGTATTACAGTCATGAGCCACAAGCCCAGCAATAGGTACTGAGAGAATAGATTTTAAGTGTTCTATCCAGAAAAAAAAAATGATAATATTTTAGGTAATGCCTATGCTAATTTCATCTCAATGAGATGATTTTTTTGAGTCTATGTTTCAGTCTCCTTAGATCAGCAGTTCTTAACCTGTGGGTCACGACCCACAAGAACTGTACTAAAGGGCTACGGCATTAGGAAGGTTGAGAGCCACTCCTTAGATAATCAAAGCAATGAATCATTATTTACAGTTAGAGGGTCCTATGACTTTAACCTCTACTTAGCCAAATTACTGTAACTAATACATAAACTCTTTAGAAATGAAAATGATTTCAGTGGGGCAGTGCCTGTGGCCCCATATGCCGTAGGTGATGGGTTCAAACCCAGCCCTGGCCAAAAAAAAAAAAAGAAAAAAGAAAAGAAAGAAAGAAAATTATTTCAATGACTCTTTCAAGAATAATAAAATAGAGCGAAGGTGAAACTGGACTACTTAGCAGCCACTCTGAAAAGAAATAGAAACAAACTTTAGAGAATGAACCAGGTGCTCTACACAAATGCCTTACCCCAACGGTTACACACCTGAAACCTTTGGAAGGGAAGTAAAATTAATCTAGGAACCAGTTCTGAAAACATAATTTGTTAATTTCACCTTGTAGAAAGCCCTATTTTCCTACATCTTTTTAATAAAATTAGTTTCCTCATAGAAGGGTATTAAGAAAACTATTAAGTAAAACTAAGTAGCCTATGAATTGCCTATATAATTTAGTATGCTGTTTCTTTTTTTTTACTTTTTTTTAAGGCAGCGTCTCACTCTGCTGCCCTGGGTAGGGTGCCGTGGCTTCATCACAGTTCACAGCAACCTCAAACTCCTGGGCTCAAGCTATCCTCTTGCCTCAGCCTCCTGAATAGCTGGGACTACAGGCATGCTCCACCACAGTGATTAATTTTTCTGGCGTCTTTTAGTAGAGATGGGGTCTTGCTCTTGCTCAGGCTGGTCTCAACTCCCGAGCTCAAGCAGTCCACTCACCTCAGCCTCCCAGAGTGCTAGGATTATAGGCCTCAGCCACCACACCAGGCCTAGGATGCTATTCTCTTGTTGAAGATATTTTATGCAAATTTTGCTAATTTTTCCTTAACAAAATTATTTAGTACAAAATGCACAAAAGAAGAAATTAAAGAGAAAACATTTTGATTTGATAAATCTATGAAGGCTTTTTTTCTTTTTCTTTTTTGAGACAGAGCCTCAAGCTGTCCCCCTGGGTAGGGTGCCGTGGCATCACAGCTCACAGCAACCTCCAGCTCCTGGGCTCAAGCGAGTCTCCTGCCTCAGCCTCCCAAGTAGCTGGGACCACAGGCGCCCGCCACAATGCCCAGCTATTTTTTGGTTGCAATCGTCATTGTTGTTTGGCCGGGGCCGGGCTGGATTCAAACCTGCCACCTTAGGTGTACGTGACTGGCGCCTTAGCCACTTGAGCCACAGGTGCCGAGCCAGGCTTTTTTTCTTTTATTTGATTCATACCTTTGATGGAATTGAAAATTTTCTATGGTCTTTCTGTGGATCAACAGAAGTGAACGGTGGTGAGGAGGATTCATTTTTATTACGGCTCTGAGGTTTGAAGTCTGAGACGTCAAAAATCGTATCTTTTAAATTAAATGGGGTCTGTTGTTTCTGCTTTGCTGACTGATTAACTTTCGAATTAGAATGGACTTTGGATTGCAGTGAAGACCCCAAAGGTACTAAATCCAAACAGTGGTCCTGGTGTTTGTTCCTGTTAACAGTGCCGGGGGTGACCATGCTGGATTCTCCTTCATCATTTACACTGTTTTCCTCCTCACTTGAATCGTCTGGTAAAATAATTCTGGATAATTTCTTTTTTGAACGTGCACAATTTTGTTTCATTTGTTTTAGCATTACTGCCCGTCGGGTTTTGTATTTTTTACTCTCATTTGTCAAGCAGTCTTCGTTTACTAAGTTAAAATCAACACAAACTTCTCCACTTGACTGGCTTTCACTAGACTCTCCTTCGTGAACACAAAAACTGTCTTCTAAGTACGTTTCATCTTGTTCAGGAATCTATAAAAATAACACAAAGATATTTTAAATAATCAACAGGTGCTAACATATACATTCTAGCACATGAGATCTTTATTAATGATCATTTCATTTATTTTATTAATTCACTCACTTATTCAACTAATACATACAAAGTACATTCTTTATATAGAGGAAAATGGCAAGTTGAAGGATAAAGAAAAAGAATAATTTCCCCTCTAGATATTTACAACCCAGTGTAGGCAGCTAGAAAAGTAAACAATAAAAAATGATAAATGTTACATACTAAGCACAATGGAAATACAGGAAGTACATATTACCAAGCTGAATATGGCAATTTATAAGCAAACAAGACTAATATGAATTTGTTATTCATATATGAACTATAATCTAATTTTTAGAATATAACATTTTTGTAAAAAAAAATTTGAGAGAAATATGACAGTATATGAGGATTAAAAATTTAACTAGAGGATTAAATTCTATTCACTTCCTTTAAACATTCTCCTAGTTGAAAATTTCATACTATATTCTAACTAGCTCAAATTAAAGAAAGGCTAATTTCATCAAATTAGGAGTAAAAGGGATCCTGAGAATTAATTTAGTCTATCTTCTAGACTTTCAGCAAAAATTATCCCAAACAGTGCTGACAGTACAGTTTTAGTAACAAAACGGAAGCTTCATTAATAGGAACGTACTTCAACATCACCATTCGGAAAATCTCCATTATTTTCTATAGTTCATACCTGTGAGAAAACGTTTACATTGCTACGTATCTTGTGGATCATCTTGTACTTAGTGCTCATCAATGGACTATGCAAAGATTTCATGTAAATCGCTCTCATTTCAGAATCTGTGTAATAGAAAACGGCAAAATTATTCAAATGAATACTGGCAAAGTATTGAACTTCAATCACTTATACATGATTGAAATCTTGTGAAAATACATAAAAGGTAATACGTATTGAAAGATATCTAAATGCAATTATTCAAAAATGCAAAGTTGGGAGTTTTGTCATTGACATCAGGTCATCTGCTTGGGCAATCGAGGAAAACTTATTTTAGCTCTCTCTCTAGTCTGAAAATGATGGTTAGGATGGAACTTTTCCATTCAAACTAAAGGTATATAAAGAACTTAGGACCATACATGACTTATAGACATATTCACAAAAACATAAGAAATCCAGGCAGAAAAGAAAACATGCACTAACAACATTAGAAGCCAATAGTATGTTTCAGTATTTTCAGTTAAGCAACCATCAGGAAAGATCAGGTTTTACTTATAACTATCATTTTTTTAAAGTTATAATGTATATAACTTAAGAAATGATACATAAAAACAAAAGATAATATGAATTTCAAGAGTTTTTGTGAAGCTCTAAAATCATACATGTTTCAAAGGTATCACTGTTGAAAACGGAGTTTCAGTTCTCTCCCACTCTCCATCCAGACTGCTCAATCTACAGTCTTCCAAATATCACATAACGGCAACTACATCATTCCTATTGCTCAAGCCCACACTGACTCCTCTTTGTCTTTCTAATCCATCAGAAAATCCTATCAGCTTTATGTGCCCAGAACCCGATCTTTCTCACTCGCCTCAGGGCTACCATCTTGGTAGAAGCCACTGTCATTCTTTGAATTATTTCAACAGCCTCCTAACTGGTCTCCTACCTTTGTTCCCCATAGGCCATTCTCATCAGGGACGCTAGAGAGATTCTGCTAAAACACATCTCAGACATCCTCAAACTACAGCTCACGGGCCACATGCGGCCCGCCTAGGACATTTATAGGGTGTTTTTGCTGCCGCTGCCTGTCCTGCTTAGCAGCTGACTCGTCCTGGGGCCCGCAGTCTGGCCCTCCAAAGGTCTGAGGCACAGTGAACTGTTTAAAAAGTTTGAGGACCCCCACGTGCTGTCTCCCTTCCTCCTACTTCCTTTCTCCCTCATTCCAGGCACAGTGCTAACCCTTGAACTGGCAGACACACTCCTGCCTAGAGTCTTTGCGTTGGTTGTCTGTGCATCAACATTCTTCCACCACATTATACTGTAAATCTGCAAAAGCCACTTCTGTTAATGAACATCTAGGGCATAAAACCTTATCGTGCAAATAATTATGAATATCAACAACACAGTACTGAGAACTTTAACCCCTTTTTTTCTTTAAAGTCATGAACCCTGGGACACTTTGCTGCTTTAGATAATGCCAGAGATTGTTAAGAGGAGAATAAACAGTGCGATCTGTAAAAGATCAGAATACTGAAGAGCCAGTCAGCATTTCTCACTTCTGTTAGTGCCAACCGGAATCATCTGCTCTAAATTATTATATTTTAGATTTGTTCAAGATCTCCCCTACTTGGAAAATTTAATAACTTTACCTTTATATCTCAGTTGGCTTTAACAATGTATATCACTAACACCTCTGTCACTGTCTCAATGTGGCCTATTCCTAATCACCTTAATTAAAATTGCAACTTGTCCAATATTTATACGCTCAACTAACCCCAGACACTACAAATCTTTTTTTTTGAAACGGAGTCTCGGTAGAGTGCATGGCATCACAGCTCACAGCAACCTCAAACTCTAGGGCTTAACGATTCTCTTGCCTCAGCCTCCCAGGTAGCTGGGCCTATAGGCAACCACCACAATGTCCAGCTATTTTTTCGTTGCAGTTGTCACTGTTGTTTAATAGACCTGGGCTGAGTTCCAACCTGCCAGCCCCGGTGTATGTGGCCAGCCCCCTAACCACTGAGCGACAGGCACCGAGCCATACAAATCTTTCTTATCCTGTTTAATTTTATTTCATTTTTCTATATCTTTTTTATAGTACAATATACTCCATAACTTACATTCAAATGTAAATTTCATAAGAAGATATTTTTGTCTTTTTTATTCACTGATACATCTTTTCAGGTGCCTTATACAGGCACAGTAGCCACTAAACACTTATTAAATGAACATTTGATATCTATGCCATCTAGGTCAATCTGTAGAGAAAGACTCAAATTAGTAGAAATAACCAGGTCTAAAACAAACCCAGTATTATAGAATTTGAATAAAAATGACCAAATAAACATTTTCCACATACTAAACTTAAATCCCTTTAAAGTCTAGTTTCTTTGAAAACTTATTAAAATACTGGAAACATCAAACATACAGGGGAAAAGAATCCCTAGTCAATAAATGGTGCCGGGAGAAATAGATAACCACATCTAAAAGACTAAAAGTAGAACCGCACCTCTCACCACTTACAAAAATTGACTTAAGATGGATAAAAGATTTAAATCTAAAGCATGAAACAATAAAAATCCTCCAAGAAAGTGTGGGGAAAACACCTGAAGCTATCAGCCTGGGGAAAGATTTTATGAAGACGTCTTCTATGCCAATTGAACAGCAACAAAAATAAACAAATGGGACTTAATTACACTGAAAAGCTCTGTACAAAAAAAAAAAAAAAAGAAAAGAAAAAGTTCTGTACAGCTAAGGAAACAACAACCAAAGCAAACAGACAACCTTCAGGATGATTAAAGATATTTACATAATATGAATTCGACAAAAGCTTGATAAATAGGATCTTTAGAGAACTCAAATTAATCACCAAAAAAAGACCCAATACAATTCCATATATCACTAGGCAAGAGAGATGATTAAAACCTTCTCTAAAGAAGGCAGACAAGGGTGGCACCTTGGCTCAGTGGGTAGGGCACCAGCCCCATTTACTGAGGGTGGCGGGTTCAAACCCGGCCCCAGCCAAATTGCAACAAAAAAATAGCCGGGCGCTGTGGCAGGTGCCTGTAGTCCCAGCTACTTGGGAGGCTGAGGCAAGAGAATCTCACCTGAGCCCAGGAGTTGGAAGTTGCTGTGAGCTACCAAGGGCGATAAAGTGAGACTCTGTCTCTATAAAGACAGACAAATGGCTAACAAACATGAAAAAAATGCTCATCGTCCCTAATCATCAGAGAAATGCAAATCAAAACCACCTTGTAATATCACCTAACCCCAGTGAAAATGCCCCACATCACAAAATGTCAAAGCTACAGATGCTGGTGTGGATGTGGAGAGAAGGGAACACTTTTACACTGCCGGTGAGACTGCAAACTAATACAACCTTTTTGGAAGGAAGTTTGGAGAATCCTCAAAGAATTCAAATTAGACCTTCCATTTGATCCCAGAATCCTATTACTGGGCTTGCAGAAGAAAAAAATTCTTATGTTATCATAAGGACATTTGCTGTTTATTGTAGCTCAATTTACAATCACCTAAATGTCATTACTGGGCTTGCAGAAGAAAACAATTCTTTTCTCATAAGGACATTGTTATAGCTCAATTTACAATCACCAAAATGTGGAAACAACCTAAATGCCCACCAACCCAGGAGTGGATTAACAAGCTGTGGTACATGTATACCATGGAATACTATTCAGCCACTAAAACAGAAGGAGGCTTTACATCTTTTGGATTAACCTGGATGGAAGAGGAACACGTTCTTCTTAGTAAAGCATCATAAGAATGGAGAGACTAGAATCCAATGCACTCAATTCTCATATGAAGAGAGCAGATGAGCTAATACAAGGGGTGGCGTAGGGGAATGAGGAAGCGGGGTGAGGGGAGGGAGGGAGATGGGGGGTCACGGGGTATGGCACATCTCTTGGGGGCTGCACACAATTATAAGAGGGATTTTATCTAACAAACAGTGTTAGATAATTAGTGTAGCCTAATTCTTTGTACCTTCAATAAATCCCAAACAATAAAAAATATATATATTTAAAACATTAAAAACATAAAAAAATGACAGCATCCTAACAATATTTACCATTTATACTCTGTGAAAGTTGAGTCCCATCATTTAAAAAGTCAACTAACGAGGAATCTTGTTCATTCTCTGGCTCAGTGGGTTCATCTGATGAGACACAGTCTGCACCTTCTTCAGAAAGTTCAGCTTCATCATCTATAAACTTCCTAGCTAGATGCTAAGACAAATCAGGAAATGGGAAAATACCTCTGAGAAAAATAATTTTCTTTCATGATTGGAAATAGTTCTGGAAAGTGGATTTCTTATCATATAATTAAATAAAATAATAAAAATAGAAAACTCCAAGAAGAAATGATAAAGTAACATACCTATTTCAAAATTTCCCCTAGTAATTCTATTTAAGTAAAATACAGTACAAATCAGCATGTCAGCTCTCTGAATGTTTCTTAATAAGTATAAAGTCTCCTGAGTCTTCCAGCTAAATACATTTTTGGCAGGAAAAATACCACACCACAAAAGGATTGATCAGAAGGCAAAGTGCTGAGAACATTTTTCTCAGTATTTTATTATTAGATAAAGAAAAACAATATAATGACTGTAAAAGCAAACATTCTAAAACTGAGATTTCTGTCTATATAATTTCTTCAGTCTGATTCATAAATTCTCAATACACAAGTTTTTTCATCTAGTCATTCAAAATAACAGAACACTGCAAGATAAAAGTATCAAAACTCAAAGGAAAGCAAAATGCCATACATTCAGACTTTACGTGAGTAAAAATAACTAAACCAGGGACCAGGTACAATGGCTCACACCTGTCATCCCAGCATTTTGGGAGGCCAAGGCATGAGGATACATTGAAGCCAGGACTTCAAGATCATCCTGGGCAACATAGTGAGACCCCATCTCTACAAAACAATTTAAAAATCAGCCAGGCATGGTTACTCATGCCTGTAGTCCCAGCTACTACAGAGGCTAGGGTGGGAGGATCACCTGAGCCCAGGAGTTCGAGCAGGCAATGAGCTATGATTACACCACCATACCCACACCTGGGCAACAAAATGAAACCCCAACTATTAAAAAACAAAGCAAAACAAAAAACATGGCTGGGGGTGATGGCTCATGCCTATAATCCTGGCACGCTGAGAGGCCGAGGCGGGTAGATTGTCTGAGCTCACAGGTTCAAGACCAGCCTGAGCCAGAGCAAGACTTTGTCTCTAAAAATAGCTGGGCGTAGTGATGGACACCTGTAGTCCCAGCTACTCTGGAGGCTGAGGCAAGAGAATCGCTTGAGGCCAAGAGTTTGAGGCTGCTGTGAGCAAAGATGCCACAGCACTCTACCAAGGGTAACAAAGTAAGATTCTGTCTCAAAAAAAAAAAAAAACTCACTTCATTAGTATCAAAATACTTTTAAGAAATTGAGTTTTTCCTATAAAGAAAATGTATAGAGAAATCCAGTCAAATTTAAAAGTTAATATTTATTAATAATTTATACATATATATAAATACAAATATGAAATCTCATCAAAAAGATTACCTTTAGGTGCCTCTGTCTCTTTTGGATTTTGATGCCCCTTCTGGCATTCCTGTTACATTCCCTGACATCTTCTGATTGTGGATATGGTTTGTTAAAATCCTCACTTTCATCACTAGATGATAATTCTAACTATAATAATTCAAAAAGATATGGCGTAAGAAAAATATAATTGAATTATTTTATCTTAGCATATTTCAAAGGTTGCCATTTTTATTTGCCATTTTTTTTCTTTTAAAATATTTGGCCCAATATTTTCTTAGACAAATAAAATTGTTCTCACAACTCAGAATCATTTTATAAAAATGTTAATACTTAAGAATTTAAAAACTAGTAAGTTTGATAATACTAAGTGCTAAAATACTAAATTAGGTGATATAAGTAACACTAGTACAGAAATTCATTCAGTTTAATATTACATCAAATATATTTGATAAAAATTGATATGTTTAGTTTAATAACATTTCCTTTGGGAAATCCTCCAGCCCTTTATAATAATTAAGTCTGTAAATCTAGCCATAAACATCAGCCCAAACATACAGGAATCTTTTCAAACTAAGAAACCAATATAGCAATAACAAATTTTGACAATCAAGCCTACCACTGTATCTTTTACAGAAAAATATAAAACCAATCGAAAGAACCAAATCTTATCAGGCTCAGCACCCATAGCACAATGGTTATGGTGCCTGCCACATACACAGAGGCTGGTGGGTTCAAACCATCCCGGGACAGCAAAACAACAATGACAACTGCAACAACAACAAAAAAATAGCCGGGCATTGTGGCGGGCGCCTATAGTCCCAGCTACTTAGGAGGCTGAGGCAAGATAATCGCTTAAGCCCAAGAGTTAGAGGTTGCTGTGAGCACCCTACTGTGAAGGTGACATAGTGAGACACTGTCTCAAAAAAAAAAAAAAAAAAAAAAAAAGAATCAAATCTTATCAAAATAATAGAAGTAATTTGAGTTTAATTTTATATTGATGACTGATTGATCATCA